AATGCCATGGAAGCCTCTGCAGGGCTGTGCTGTTACTTTCCATTTCACAGGGCAGGAAATGGAACTTTGGAGTGATGAGTGACCAGGGCATGCTCTGAGCCTCCCCTGGAGCCTTTACACTGAGCAATACAACGGGTGCCCCACACCCCATAACAGACTGGCAATGGGGAGGGGTGGGGGGGCACAGAGGGCTTTATGGCCCAGAACTCCAGGTGGGATCCAGCTGAGGCCACGTCCCTGCTTATCTCTCTGTCCCACCTCACCTGGTTCTCTGGTCCCAGCTCCTCGATAAACCACGCAAGGGAACAATCTCTTCTAAGTTCTTTGCTCAGCACGACCCCCTCAGTTTTGTCCACGTGGTAGCGAACAGCAGCATTTCTTGTTTTATTTCTCATAGTTGAGTCTCAGTGCATTGTGCAAAGACCCCACAGCTTCTTGGTCATTATTGTTAGACACGGGGGCTGTTTCCAGGTCTTGGCTATTGTGAATAGTGCAGCAGTGAATATAGGTGTGTGGGATCATGTTGGTGGTATACAAAGAAGCAAATGTCCAATAAGAAATGTCCAATGAAAATGTCTAATCGGGGGCTGAAGTGATAGCAGAGCAGGTAGGGCATTTGCCTTGCACGCAGCCTGACCCGGGCTCGATTCCCAGCATCCCATATGGTCCCCCAAGCACAGCCAGGAGTAATTTCTGAGTGCATGAACCAGGAGTAACCCCTGTGCATCACTGGGTATGACCCCCCAAAAAAAGAAAATGTCCAATGGTTGGGGGTAGGGAGCAAAAAGCTTTAGATTCTAATAACTGATACAAGTTACTAGGAGTCAAGAGGCTGAAAAAGTCCAGTGATTCCATGGAAGGGCCAGGAGACAGTACAGAGCTTAGGGCATAAGCCTGACAAAGGCCCAACCCAACCCAGGTTCAATTCCTGGCACCGTATGGTCTCCTGGGCATCCAAGGTGCAGCCCTGAAGACCTCCCACACTGCAGGGGTGACCCAAGTATCCCCCACACTGCAGAACCTGGGCAGCATCACATCCTTGGGCCCTTACACTGAGTCTTAGGCTGTCTTCTCAAAAGACTATGTGTTTCTGCCAACTACGTGGTCCAGTTGGTAGAGAATCACTAGTGTGGCCGCTGGATCTCCTGAACACTCCTTGGAAAAGAAAGAAATAAAGAAAGAAAGAAAGAAAGAAAGAAAGGAAGGAAGGAAGGAAGGAAGGAGAAAGAGAGAAAGAGAGAAAGAGAGAAAGAAAGAAAGAAAGAAAGAAAGAGAGAGAGAGAGAGAGGAAGGAAGAAATGAAGGAGGGAAGTGAGAAAGGAAAGAAAGAAAAAGAATGGAGAAAGAGAGATACAAAGATAGAAAGAAGGAGGGAAAGAACGAAGGAAGAAAGCACTTAGTGGAGTGTGCTGGGGGGATATTAGCATGTGGGTGATTCAAGTGGTGTGGGAACACTGACCCCCTAAAACATCTGTACAAGGCTACATCACATACACTAGTAGCCTTGTAAACCAAAGTTACCCCAGTAAAAACTAACATAACAAGGTAATAAGTAAGAAAACAGAAACCAGGAAGCCAATGTCAGGGTCTGCCACAGAAGAACCAGCTGAGACCCATGTCCCTTAGTCTAGGAGAGTCTCATGCCTCATCACCAAGCAGAAGTAACACAAACAGTGCCTGCATCATACCCGCTAATTGCCACCAAGAAATGCACATGACAGCATCAATGTGACCACAGCCATGGTGGCAGCCACGACTCCTGTGTTTCTGGCTCCAGCCATGGGCCCATCACTTTCCTACATCTGATCTTCTCACCAAGAGGTTCATCTTAGCGTCCCAGTTTTGCCATGGAGGCCTAGAGAGTTTGGAGAGATGGCGGGTCCCAGTTTTGCCATGGAGGCCTAGAGAGTTTGGAGAGATGGCGGGTAATGTTCACTGGGGTTGTACAGAACGACACCATCCTTCTCAAAAGACTACGTGCTTCTGCCACTTGGTCACCTACATCGGGGGCTGTATTTCTGTTCAGTGAGTAGCTGATGAAATAGGCTCCCCACTAATGTTGCTGCTCTCGTAAGACTTGAGAAAGAAGACTGCCATCCCCCCCCCCCCCCCCTCAGAAACTCAGTGGAGCCACAATTGGCCATGATCACCTCTGCAGTGGAAGAGAAAACCACAACACTCTGGAACTAGCCAGAAAATGGTTCCCTGCAACCAGACACGAAAAGCTCGATGGAGCCACATCCACTGAAGAAAGGAAGGAGAACAAGTTTACATGCCACAGGTCAGCGAGGTAAAGGAGCGTTCTGGAGTCTTTTCCACAGAGATGGACAGGAGATTACCAAGCCGGGGCAGACGTGTAAGAGACACAGACCAGATTCCAACCCGGGGACGAGTTTTTGTGCTACCTCCCTAACTCTCTCACCGGACCACGCACGAGAGGAGGAAAGGGAAATGAAATGTGCGTTTCCCTGACCTCTTCTCTTCCGTTCCCATAAAATGTATAACGTAACCATCCCTGACCCTCATTTCCGGTCTGAAAAATACGATGGACTGTGCTTTCTTCCCTAGCCAAGAAGCTCTCCTATTTGATGATAAAAAAAAGGTTTCCATTAAAAATTGGGGGCAGATAAAAGGGGGGACCTTTATGCGGGAGGCCACGAGCTGATTCATAAAAATACAGAATGACTCATCCTGGCTTTCAAAGCTAACCATAACAATCAATGGACCTCTTTGGCCAGCCCGTGCCAGCCCAGTGAAGGAGGGAGGGGCCCCTGGGCAGCGAACCTGGTCCCACATTTGCTAACAAAACCGATGAACACTGCCTCCAGCTGGCTGGCAAAAAGACTGCACACAGCCCCCCCCCCCCCATCTTGTTTTCCGTTCCACATGCTGTTCCAGACTTAGCTGGCTTTCTGAATAAGTGGGGCTGGGGGTCCGCATTGAGTCCACAGTGTGTGTGTGTGTATGTGTGTGTCTGTGTTTGTGTGTGTGTGGTGTGCGCGTACACGCGCACTCAACTCCAGTGGAATTCAGGTTTGTGTGTCCAGCTTTGAAACTCAGTCTCCTGGCCTTCATCTCAACACGTACGGCTGCAAAGTGCTTTCATTCCCATCAGCAGTGAGCACAAGACGAGAGAACGCAGGCCGATTGCCTCTGCAGGGGACACATTCTCTCATTAAAAAGTGGCTTGAACGTTTTCACTCTCTGAATGTATACTCGAACCAAGAGTACCAGAACACGTGAGCCTCAATGTGGTTGGCGAGTCCTGAATCTCTCTCTCTCTCTCTCTCTCTCTCTCTCTCTGTCTCTCTGTGTCTCTCTGTCTCTGTCTCTGTCTCTCTCTCTCTCTCACACACACACACACACACACGCGCGCACACGCACACACACACAAACACACACACATACACACACACTTTTTGACTGGTGGTTAAGAAAGGAGAATTCCCACTACATGGTTTTAATTGTTCTAGGCTGACATTTCTACCAGCAAAGGAAGGAAAATGATGAGTCAACAATCCTCCTCCGAGCATCTTCCCTGGGGTCATTCATTTACAATAACTTCGTATGTATTGTGCACCCAGCACAACGCCAGCCAGCACCGTGCTAGGCGTTGGGGCTTTAACTGTGAAAAGCTCTGTTTTACGAGATCTATCAGCTTGGTTGAGCAAGAGTTAATCAAACAGAGCTCCCCCAGTTTCTAAAGCCCTTGCCTCAGACCCTGGTGTCCCCAGAGAGAGGACCAAGAGCGGTGTCTGGGCAAACACGCCCAGCTCCAGCCAGAGAAGGCCGGGGAGCCGGAGATCTACTGGAGATCTACTCGGTGGTGATTCTCCCCAGCTCCTCCCCAGCAGCGAATAAATCAGTAGCGGAGCAGAGAGGATCGCATTTGCATATTTCTTGCCTTGAGACTTGGTCCCAGTTTCTGAGTCTGGGGGGGGGGGGGGGTCTCACCTGAGAACTGATGTATCGGCTGCTACTTAGGGGAGCAGCTTTTGCTGGAAGCTTCTTTGGGGAAAAGAAAGGGGGCTGGGGAAGATGGGAAGGAATCAAGCCATCCTCGGAGCAAATTTCCCCAGGGCTTCCCAAGTGACTGATAGGAGTACTGAGTGCCAGTCTGACCACAGAATCTCAGGAAAACGACTGAATGATGTATGTATGTGTGTGTGTGGAGGGGGGGGGGGTCCTCCAGAAGGAGCCTGGGCTCCCAGGTCACTCAGATGGCTGAGTTCCAAGGAGCTGGAGTCGGAGACCATTGATCAGCTCTGTCCTCTTCTCTAGATTAAAGCAGAAGAGGATAGGGGGGTGGGGGGGGTTGGGGGGGGCAGGAAGGGGAGGACTGGACTGCATCCTGAGCATGCCGGGCGTCTGAGACTTGGACGCCGACCCCCGGACCCTCCGGCACCCACGTCTGGGTCCCCAGGGAGCGAAGGTGGGGGGCGGGCAATGGGGGAATCACTGCCCCATCCCCGCAGCAGCCGGCGGGGCCTCCCGGGGGTCGCAACCTAGCGGTCAGAGCCAGTAGTCAAAGGGGCGCTCTCTTGATCCCGCTTCCTTCCCTCGCCTGGAACGCGGATGGGGACGGTCCCGGGAAGTATGAAACGAGCTCGCACCCGTGCAACTCTCAGAAGGGTGGCGGGCGGCTCCGAGGAGTCCGGAAACTCGGTTATAATCCTCAGCCCCGACCCCCGGGGGCCACTCCCCGGTCCCGGCGGGCCGAGCGGCCCGAGCCCAGGCAAAGCTCGCGCAGCGCCGGGCGTGCGCCCACCCCTCCCGAGAGCTCACCAGCACCTCCGGCGACCCCCCGAAAGCGGACTGGGGAGAGGCACGGCCACCTCGGCGCCTTTCCCAACCGCCGGGGGCCGGGCAGAGCCCCCCCGGGCGCCCGGGATCGGGGTTCTCGCGCCCCCTCCCCGCGAGCGCCGAGCGCGCAAAAGAGAGCAAAGAGGAGGAGGAGGAGGAGGAGGAAGAGGAGGAGGAGGAAGGCGCGGATACTGGACCAGGCTTTGATGCGGATCTTGAGCTCGCCGTCCTGCGGCTCGGGCATGGCCTTGCGCGTGACCCGCAGCTTGTTGAGCCCCCCGAAGCCGGCCAGCACCACGGCGCGCATCTCGCGGGCGTCCCCCCGGCGCTGCGAGCCGCCGCCGCCCTCGGCCGGCTCCCGGGCCGCCTCCTTCTCGATCATCTGCTCCGTCTCCTCCGCCTTCTCGGCGCCCTCCTTGGCCATGGCGCTCGGGCTGCGGCTGCGGCGGGCGGGGGGGCTCGGCGCGGCCTCGGCGGGTCCCTCCTGTTGAATGCGGGATGCTCCGCCGCGCAATGGCTGCAGCCCGGGGAGCCGCGCCGCGGTCCACCGCCTGCGCCGTAATCCCCGCAAGAGCCGCGCGCGCGCGCCGCCCGCCGCGCCCCGGCGCCGCCCCGCTCGCGCTCCGGCCCCCGCCTCCGAGCCCGCTCCGAGCCGCAGCCCCCCGCTCGGGGCCCCGGCTGGCCCCCCGACGCGCGAGGAGGACTCGAGGCGAGGCCCCCACCTCGCGCGCCGCCCCGCGGGGCGCAGTACTCGGTTATATACGGCGCGGGCTGGGCGCCTGGAAATGGACAGAGACGAACGTCTGGGCCTGGAGGACGCCTCCCCGCGACGAGGTGGCCTCCTCGACGCCCACCCGTCTGCGGGGGAGGGCGGCACCGACGGGAAACCGGGCCGGGTCCCAGAACCGTCGGCTCTCGGTGGCAAGGATGGAGGTTCGGGAAGCGCCCAACCAGGGGTTTCCCCCACGCTCGTGGGGCCCGCAGGGTCCGAACCAGAGTGAGCGGAGTGGGCTCCCCCCGGACCCGCCCGGGCACCGCGCGGGAGAAGCCCCAGGAGGTCCCCAACTAGGCACGGGTCCTGGTCCTCTCTGGACCTCCCCAAGAAGACACATTTTTCAATTGACTCTCTTCTCTCTCTCTCTCTCTTTCTCTCTCTCTCTCTCTCCCTCTCTCCCTCCTCCACCTCCCCTCCCCCTTGCTCTACCTCTCCCCACCCCCTCTCCCTCTCTCCCTCCTCTCCCTCTCACCCTCCTTGTCTTTTGTTTGTAGATGTTATCAAGAGCTTTGAAAAGAATTCAGAAGAACTTGGATTTTTTCTTTTTTGGAAAAAAACTGGAGGTTTAGGGTAGCCCGGTGGAAATTTAAAGGAGAAGGAAGTGGAGTGGGGCTGGGCCAGAAGTGTGAATTCTAGTTATCTTGTGGTCGCTGTCAGCCCTGGGCACCTGAACGTGTTCCCCTTGGAGCCTCAACTCCCTTATCTGTAAAATGGGCGTGTCCATGGTATTCTTTGCCTTGTGCTGTGCGCTGGGGTGATTTTGCCTGCTGGTGACAGGTGGCCCTGCCCTTTGAGGCACAGACTACAGGGAGGACAGCACCAATAATGAAGATGCAGCTGGCGTCTAAAGGTCTCTTCTCCATCCTCCCTGCATCTCTGCCTGAATGTCTCTGGCTCTCCCTTTCCTCACAGAGCGTCACATCCCCTCTACCACCTGTAGTGCCCAGGCCTGGGCGGCATGTCCACCTCATGCCTCTGTGCCACCTCAGTGTCCCTTGCTCAGGGAAGCTGCTGCAGCCCCCTGCCGGGCTGGCCTCCTTGATGGTAACCACTCCTGACAGTTTGCTCCCCACTTTTATGTGATTACCTGATAAGCGGCTGTTTCCTTTTTCCAATCCTGGTCTGCATGTGCCAGGAGCTATTTCTGCTTTAGCCCGCCTGGTGTCCCCAGGGCTTAGCACGTGACTGGGACGTTGGGACAGGGCAGAACACAGGCAGAACCCTGCTCGATGGAGGGATGAATGAATCCGAGGCTGTAAACGCTTCTGCAGAGCCCAGAGAGGGCATGGTAACGTAGTAACGTACCCAAGACCCCAGGGGGAGCTTGAAGGATGAGGCAGACAGACACACGGGAAGGTGACAGGCGGAGAGACTTTGAGAAGACCCTGACTTATTCTGTGACCTGAGCACAGGTGCCTTCAGCAATCACCAGAGAGAGATGAGGCTTCAAAGTTGGATGCAGGTTGGAGAGACAGTGTCCTGGGGATTAAGGTGTCTGCCGCACACGTGGCCAACCCCAGTTCACTCACTGGCACGGCATGTGGTCAGTTGGCTCCGGGCAGGAGTGATCCCTGAGCACAGAGCTAGGAATAAACCCCAAGCACTCCAGGGTGTGGCCCCCAGAAGTTGAATGAAACCTGCCTTTCAGAGCTTCCCACTTTATAAATTTTACAATCCAGGGGGCTGGAGCGATAGCACAGCGGGTAGGGCTTTTGCCTTGCATGTAGCCGACCCGGGTTCGATTCCCAGCATCCCATATGGTCTCCTGAGAACTGCCAGGAGTAATTCCTGAGTGCAGAGCCAGGAGGAACCCCTGAGCATTGCCGGGTGTGACCCAAAAAGAAAAAAAATTTTACAATTCAACTATTGAGACCATGATCATGGTTCCACCTTAAGAAAAGAAAAAAAGGAAGAAACCCTCAGCAGGGCCCAGAGCACCCACCTGGCCAGCAGGAGACCCTGAGTCAATGCCCTGTGCACCTGAATGTGCTGAGCAGGAGTTCTGCAGTCTGTGATCCCCAGGGATGCAGATGGCTTCCTGCCGCCCTGCAGCCAGGCTGTCATGGCACCTCAGTGAGAGGAGGACAGCAATGAGAGCTGGCAGCCCCCAGTGAGTAGCCAAGTGCCCACTGGGCATCTCGATGTGTGCCTGGCCCCCAGCAAGCTCCACCTCTGATGTTGTTGGTGTGACAGCTGCCCTGCCAACAACAGTGCCGGTTGTGGGAGCTTCAAGTCACATTTCAGGGGTTATAACTTAGTAAGTTTGGTGTTAGGTTTGTTCAGTGTTTCTCCGAGGTGGCCCGTCCATCCCTCCCATCCCTCCCCCCCACCCCCTGACTGAAAGTCCTGGGGGACGATGGTGACACTTTTCTTGGTTCACAATAAAAAGGAAGATTTCCAGGGGGGAACATTGAATGTTATTTTTCTCTTTTCTGTAAAGACGCAGCAGGCAAATAAATCTGACTAGGGAGGAGATGAAAGAGTTTACTGGCAACAGTAACTGGGAAGGGCCGGCTTCACAGAGGTCTCGGCGAGGGGGTGGCAAGGGCGTTGAGAGGAAGCTGAAAAGGTAAGGGCTGGCTGACGAACTGGACATTTCATGTCAACCCTGGTAATACTGCTGATGTTGTGAGGTGTGGTGACCAGGCTGGCGTCTCTTGGGGAATGAGATCCTGGGTGCAGGTGGTCTGCCGGGAGGGTCATCCCAGGAAGCAGGTGACGTAGGAAGTGGGAGAGAGAAAGGCCCTTCAGGTGCATGAATGCAAAGATGACCGGAGGAGGAAAATAGGTCTCGGTCTCCACCCCAGAAAACCCACAAAAGCAGCATGGAGCAGGCCTCAGGCTGGACCTGCCCAGGGAGTAGGGAATGACCGCTTATCACCACATTGGCCGGGGTGCTATTTCTGGAAGTGTTACCTGCCAGGCCCTTCCAGCCTCCTCCAGTACATACACCCAGAGGACCCACAGCCAGAGAGCTTGGGATGCCCTCGTCTTGTACAGGAAATGGTGAATTCCAGGGGAATTGGATCAAATTCCAGACTTGGACCTAATAATAGACCGGCCATATATGTCTTTGTTTGAGGAATGACTATGGATGTAGAAACATTAGGTACATTTTCTAATTGCATTCTCAGATAACCTTATTTAGTGAGGATTATTATTCTCACTTACAAAAAAAGGGACGGGAGTCTTAGCATGGTTAATGATCAATCTCGCAGGAATACAAAGATTGTGGTGATAGATGAAACCAACTCTAATCAATGCATTCAACTTCTCACTCTCCGTTTTGCACAGCCATCCTGACAGCCCACCCCCCACCGCCCACCTCCCCATGGTACTTTGCCTGTCTTCTCTCCTCCTGGTCTCCTGATGTCCCACTCTGATCCCTTGCTTGGTTGCCAGGTTTTCTCTTAGCACCACTAAAGCAAATCTGCTTTGTAATCAGCTCACAGCATATTTAAGAGAAAGTATTAAGGGACATTATTACTCCCACCAAGGGAATCTCGTGACTGCTTACAAACCACAGCTTATAATTGGCATGCCGCTGACTGTCCCAACAACTGAAAGAAAACTCCCCAGACTACACTGCTTGGGAAGAAAACACTTCTGAGTCCCACCTTTCGCCATTTGGATGGTTAAGTAGCCCCCAAATCAGTTGCTCTCTATTGGCAAGAACCCTCTGCCAGGTAGCTCTTAAAATAAACACAAGTCCTGTACCTTCCATGTGTAAAATTGATTTGGGTGGGACACTCACTCGGAGTTTCAGCAATAAGAGTATTTTATTTTGCAGGTCAGTGTCCAGCAGTGACCACTGCTGGCAAAATCTGTGTATTACAGCTCAGCTCTATAGACTTGGATGTGGCCCAAGAACAGGTGTGTGGTGGTTGAGAGGAAGTGAGAGCATCAAACTCAAGAACTCCTGGAGGTGCTGGCCTGCTGAGTGGAATGCCATCCAACAGGGTAAGGCCTTTCAGTCCGATGTCGAAAGGGGTCAGTGGGTAGCTCGGCGGTAGAGCACGCATGAGGCCCTGCAAGCATGAGGCATGGGTTGGTCCCCAGCACCATCCCACATTCCAGGTGTGACCTCATGGCACTGCTCTTGGGATCCATATTGTCACAACACGACGCGTACAGCACAGGGGTCCCATCCAACTATGCGTGAGCTCCTCCACCAAAAATACACACCCCCTCCCCTCCAGCCACGTGACAGTCAGTCATGGGAAGCCCTATGGCCAGCACCAGAACGAAGCTTGCAGGCTCCCAATTCCACAACCAAGTGTACAGGACTCTGGGTCATTGTAACAACTACGGAGGGAAGCGAAGGAGAAGCATTAAGTCGTGGCGATTGTAAACTATACATGGGAAATAACCTTAGTGCTCTATTAGAATTGCTTTTCTCAGTAGCGTGGAATGGTTCAGTAACTTTCTAGGTAAATGTATTACCTGGGGCAGATAGTCAATGCCTTCAGCTACATCCTCTAATAGTATTCTATTGTATTTTCCTTGGTGCATTCAGAGTCATTCATTATACATACATTATATTAATGAACCCACAAAAGAGCCCTATGCCATAGCTACTATCACCCCACTGAACACAGAAGACAGTGGAAATTGCATAACTTTCCAAGGTCACCCACTGAGATGGGAAGAGAGTTGGGCTCTAAAGTGGGGGGGGGGGGTCCTTTGATTCCTCCAATGTGAGGTCTTCACCTGCTATGCTGTCAGATCTATTGTTTCATCTGCTGTTATTTTCTTAAGACATGCACAGGAAAGGCCAAGAGGAAGGAGAT